TCCAGTATGCACTAATCCACAAATTACTTAAGTTATTCGGTTTATAAACGTGTCTGACACTCCCTCTGATGCGAAATAAACCAATATCCCGAGTTATTCAGTTACTCCTAACAGTACATTGACTGAACTGCTAAAAGAGAACCGATGATGGGATGTGCACGAGCAGAGCAGCTCTTCTTCTTCTTCTTCTTCTTCTTCTTTGACGTTTTATGGCGGTTGGCAAACCAGCTTTAGGTGCATTTACCGCCACCTACTAGGATGGAGTGTGGAGCAATGACGTTAAAGGAAAACTAAAAAAATAAAAAAATAAAATAATAAAATTAAAAAAAATTAAAAATTTGTAGTGATTCTTTAAATCCTGTTTATTAACTCTGTATCTTTGAGATACTTAAATAATATGTGAAACATTTCTATAGTCACATCTTTATTTAACAATTTCTGAAGTGAGATCTGATTTATTTCTATATGAAGTGCTTCTGTAAGTTGTACTCTTTCGTTGTCATATCCTTTACATTTTATTAAAATATGTTCAACTGTTTCAGGAAGATCACATTTACCACAAAGTCCAGACTCATGTTTTCCTATTATAAATAATGATTGATTAAGTGCAGTGTGTCCAATTCTAAGGCGAGATATTATGCCGTCTTCCTTTCTATTCCCAAAAATTCTCCTCTCATTTCCAACTGTTTTTTGAATATTATATAAATGCCGTCCTTTATTCTCACCATCCCATTTACTTTGCCATATATCTTTTAATGCTTTTTTAATTAGCCCTTTTATTTCTAATTTACTCATTGGAACATTAAATTCTATGTCTGGATGTTTTAATGTTTTTTTCGCTATTTGATCCACCACTTCATTACCTTCTAGTCCTATATGTGCAGGTATCCATACAAAAGAGAGAATTGTTTTTGTTTGTATTCTGAACAAACTTTGTAAAATGTACCACCATCACCACCATCAGGTGTGGGTACAGAGTCAGGGGAGACCACTGCAGGAAGCTATTGGGGGGAGTCAGCCTCCTCAGCCTCCTCTTCCACCACACCACCTCCCAGCTCCACAGACCTGCTTGAAAGAGGTGACAGCGAGGCTACCCCTTGCCAGCAAAAAGACAGCGTAGGGATCCAGTTTTGGAGTTCCTGGAAAAAGAGGCAGAGAGGTCTGAGGCCAGGCAAAGAAGATCAGAGGAAAGAGAGGAAAAATTGATGAACCTACTGGAGAGAATTGTTAATAAGATGTGAATTTGTAAAACAAAATAATAATAATAATAATAATAAAAACGGTTATTGAACTTGTTGTTTTCTCATTTTTACTATTGCAAGCAATACAGTTTTTTAAATTATTGGTTACAGGGGATCAGTTCATTCGTTTTTATTTTTATGATAATACTATATACATCAGTAATTCTATAATTAAAATGTGAAATATAATTATGTATTTACATTAAGGAACCTCATCTGACAAGTAAAGTTATTGTATGCTTATTCTTTCAATGTGAAAACCGAGTTTCTTGAATAAGATGTTACAGGGGACTGGTTTATCAGGTAACAAATATTAATATTTAGTTTTTTCCAGATTGCAGAAATCTGTTCAGCAGAGGATTCTCACTATAGCTGAATGTAGTCATGATCCCTGAGAGCTGTCACATTGATAATGTCATCTCTGCCAGGTGCAGAGACTGCTGCAGCAAGGTGCTCTCTTATTTGTTCTCCACCCTGAGGGTCTTGGTTGTGTGGCAGTGCATCATTGTTGTCATCTGGCACAAGTGCTGCCTCAACTGGCTCCAAAATGTCACCATTGGTGAGACAAATGTTATGAAGAATGGCACAGCAAGCAATCACAGCAGGGGCAAATTGGGCTTCACCTCCAAAGCTTTAAAAAAGATGCTCCGCCACCTCGCTTTCATTATCCCGAAGGACCTCTCAATGATGCTTCGTGCCTTTGAATGGTGCTGGTTGAATCGAGCTTGTGTTGGACTTGTGACAGGCTCCCTGTATGGAGTTATTAGGGCGATTGGCTGAGATATACAGGGATACCCGCCATCCCCGAGGATCCAGAAATTCTCAGGTGGGTAAAGCTGCTGGCAAAATAGTGGACTGTTTTTCAGAACTCTGGAATCGTGAACTGAGCCTGGGTATCCTACGAAGATGTCTAAAAACTTGCCTCTGTGGTCACAAACTGCTTGGAGCTGAATTGAGTAAAACAGTTTGCGGTTGAGGTAGCACTGAGCATCTGTACTAGGTGGCTTGATTCTCACTTGGCACCCATCAATGCGGGAAATACTCTTGCAGGTAAGCACTGCGCATGACACAAAGCAATCACAACCACACTGTCAGAATTTTTTATTTATTTTATTATTATATTTTACCAACAATAAAAGCACAAAGAAAAAAACGGCATCCCTTCCGGCAACATAAAATAAAAAATAAATAAAAACCCCTTTAACAAAAACATTCTTCTTAATAAATAACAATAAACATATTATTTATATTCTCTTACTTAATTCACATTCTTTTATAAACTTAATAATATCATCATATATCTTGTTAGCTGATTTCCCCAATAAACCTGACAAAGAAAAGTCATGGTGTTTTACTTTCTTCATTGACTGAATAAGGCGACATCTCTCATTGTTGTATTTTACACATTGAAGTAGTACATGTTCAACTGTTTCTTGTTGATTACAGTGTACACATTCCCCAGTTGGGTGCTTACCAATTCTATATAATGTACTATTAAGTCCAGTATGTCCAATTCTAAGGCGTGTAATGATATTGCCTTCCCTTCGATTCCTACTCTCCTTTCTCCCAGCATCAACTGTTTTTTGTATATTATACAAATGTCTACCCGTTCCATGGTCATCCCAATATATCTGCCAAACTGATTGTGTATATGTTCTAATGTATACTTTAGCTTCTGCTTTACTTAATGGAATATGTAGATCTACTTGCTTTATTCTTAGAGTTTGTTTAGCCAGAATATCCACCTTCTCATTTCCCTCCACACCAACATGAGCAGGAACCCAAATGAATTGTGTAGACATACCCTTAACTTTAATTTCATACATCTTGCAGAATATTTCGTTAATAATATCCATCCTAACTGATGACCTGCCAGATTTTATACTTTCAAGTGCAGAAAAACTATCAGATGCAATGACAGTGTTATTTATTTCCTTCTCTTCTATCCACTGTAGGGCCAATAATATTGCCAATAGCTCTGTAGCATATACTGACAAATGGTTGGTTACTCTT